GGCCCAATGGCGGCTTGGGGTTTTGCATGGAGTACTTCGCCAGTAACTTTAACTGGCTAGAGGAGAGCCTTGGGCATGTGGAGGATGACTATATATTGTTTGATTGCCCAGGTAAACAAATGACAATGTTTTGGTGTCAGTCTTCATATGCAATATAAAATTTGCAGTACTTTTTTTGTTGGTTGTAATCATTCCCACTTTTTTTTTTTGCATTGTTAACAGTTGTCGGAGTCACTTGCAGATGTTTAAGAAGTTAACTTGGTCCCAGGGTAATCTAGGTGACTGCACTGAGTTCTAATAGCATCATATGGTGTGGGAACGCTATGGCAACTGCTAACTAACACTAATAGGAGGTCAAGGGAGGAAAAAACGCCTTTTATTTCTTTTCCACTTCTCTGGTATATGTTCATCCAAATACAGAGTTGTCTGAAAAGAAAGATGCTTTCTTTATCAGCTTTTACTCATATTAAGTGCAATGCCCATATTTATATAACTGATGACTGTGAACTGTTCCCGTTATCTTCACATTTCTGCATACTAACATCCTAAGTGTGCCGTAGGTCAGATCGAACTCTATACACATCTGCCAGTGATGAAACAGCTGGTGGAGCAGCTTCAGCAGTGGGAATTCCGTGTCTGTGGAGTTTTTCTTGTGGATTCTCAGTTTATGGTGGAATCTTTTAAGGTATTCATTTAAAATCCGTTGCAAAAATTCATATTGATAAAGAACAAGAAATCCGAGCAATTTAGGGAGCTGAGTTTGTTTAGGCCAGAGGAAAGAATGCTAAGCGAGGGGAGATCTGATTGCTGTCTTCAGCTGCCTCAGACATAGGTTGCAGCAAAGAAAATTCCAGTTGGGTGTAAAGAAGAAAATCCCACACTCTGAGAGCAGTCAGCCTGGAACAGGGGCACAGACAGATTGTGTAGTGTACGTTCATGGAGTTACTCAAAACTTGACTGGGGAAGCCCCCTGAGCAATCTGATCTGACTTTGAAGCTGGCTCTGCTTTGATCAGCGATATGGAACAGATAACCTCTAGAAGTCCCTTCCAAACTAAATTTTTGTGTGATTCTATGAGAGCTTTCTCAGATTTGGAGAGAGCGCAGGCCACTTTCCCCCTCTAGCAGTAAGAATCCTGAGATGGGCTTTGAGTTTTGTAATGCCCTTTTCGGTGGCAGATCCAGATTTGAGGCTCTGGAAATAAGATGGCAGATAGTAACCTCAGCACCTCCCTTTTCCGGCAGAGATGAGGACTCCCCGCTTGGCCTTGTGGCCATGTTTCATATATTCATTAGCTAGATTTGGTCTGTGGTTGAGTGTCCTGCATGTTGGTGGTGTGTTTTTCTGTACTTAACTACATCATTTTTCATACTCCTTCAGTTCATCTCTGGAATTCTGGCAGCACTTAGTGCAATGATATCTTTAGAGATTCCACAGATTAACATCATGACCAAAATGGATTTGCTGAGCAAGAAAGCCAAAAAGGAAATAGAAAAGTAAGTTCCAAGAAATTACTTACTCTGTAGTGTAATACATTGAGGCAAACTTCACTCAGAGTTCAGTCTAATGTTTCCCACAATTGAAACATGCTGTTTTGGAATGGGAGAAGATGCATTTGGTTTATATCGAACATAGTCTTTAAAAGTCTGGATGGGATGCTTACAATTTAGTCGGAGTCAAAAGACTAGCTCCATGTTTGTACTTAGCTCTGGATTTTTTTGTAAATAATTATCTTGAATGACTTAGGTCATTCTGTGTGACATTCCAGAGTACTGTACTTCAAAACCTAAACCAGATGTAATCCCATCAGTTTTTTGATACTGAACATACTGAATTACTTATGTGTTACTTTTACATTTGTGTTAAAATTACAAAATAAAAGTTTTTCCCTGTGGTCTTCCTCAAACCTTTCTTTATATATAAGTATACGCCATATTAGCAAAAAGAAAATAAAAGACACTTCAATTGTTTCTACTAGCAGTCGTAATCTGAGATATTCAAATACTTAAAAAACCTATTTTTAAACATTTTACGTTCTCCTGGTATGAAGTTTGTTCATTTAGATCACAGAATGATAGATGGTTTTGGTAGCTATATGAAAGCACAATGACTCATTTGCTCTGTGACCAAGGATTCTTTTGGTGTTAATGACGACTTTGTTTCTCCCAGGTACTTAGATCCAGATATGTATTCTATGATTGAAGATTCTACAAATATATTGAAAAGCAAAATGTTTAAAAAACTGACTAAATCTATATGTGGGTTGGTAGGTATATTGCTTTTTAACTGGTACCCTTAAATTCAGTCCTGTATTTATAAACCATACTGTATGGTTGCTGATTTCATTGCTGTTGTAGATACTGTATGTTATATAATAATTCTCTCCCCTCAGCCCAGAACTATGTATTTTCCTACCAGACTTATTAACAAAGCCAGGATCTAAAAGATTCTCAAGCACTTGAGCATTTTACTTTTTGCCTGTTTTAAGTCAGTTTTTGATTTTTTTTTCAGATTAGCCTAAGATTCTTGATCCTAACATTTGGATTGTAGCCAATACATTTTCTGTGAATCCTGTTCTATTAGCAATTTTGGAAAATGGCTTTGTCTGCTGTGTAGAACTTAGGACTGATAACCAGGTGTTCTGAGTGGGGAATTGCCATTGGTTTGCAGGGAGGCTTTAAATGGTATTTTAGCAGTCCAAACAAGGAAGACCCAAGTGTGGTATAAGGAAGGGGCTTAGAGTGCTGTGATTGAGAACTAACTTACTGCATTTTCTTACTAACATCCTTTGAATCCCTTCTCTAGATTGATGACTATGGTATGGTTCGATTTCTACCTTTTGATCGCTCTGATGAGGAAAGTATAAACATAGTTCTACAGCACATAGACTGTACGATTCAGTATGGAGAAGATCTTGAATTTAAAGAACCAAAGGTAAGGTACTTCTGATAAGATGAAAAATTAAAAAGGATCCATAATGTAAGTTGTAATACAAATATGTTCTTTGTCTTGCTAATAAGTTATTGTCTTAGTATGGTTCAAAATCAGCCGTGTTTAGTGTTTTAGTGACAATGCTTATATCGTCTTCATTTACAATTACAAAAGTGAAATTCTTTAATATCATCTTGCATATGCAAACTGATCAAATGGTTGTGTTTAAAAGTAATGCTTTGGTTTTCAAAAATAATGGAACTTTAAACTTCAAAGGTCAGAAAGGACCATTAACACACTAAGATTTCTTCCTACATGACTGTTCAAACTCCCCTGACAATGCCTGTGTTGAACCCATGTGTTGTATATGAGACATAGATTAGGAATAAAAGCTATCATGTAAAATACATTATAGAAGACTGCTGTTATTACTCAGGTCATAGATCCTAAGGAACAAGTCCAGTGCTTTTATTCCATTTTTTAATTCAGTTTTGTACTCTTTAAGTATGCAGAGTACCTGGATCTAGATTTTGACCTATACAATTTTGATAGCTCTAGAAACAAGTTGCTTTTCAGAAAGTTTTGCAACATGTTTTATGGAACCATATTAGACATTGTTCCTGTTGTGGTTTCTAAAATAAAACATCATAGAACATAGGGGAAAGTCAGGTTTTACCTTTTTTGTTTTCCTTTTGGCAGGAATGTGAAGAAGATAAATCTGCTCTTGTGGATGAATACTTTCAAGATCACGTAGATGAGTAAAAAACAGATTTTCAAAAATGGGAGGAAAATAGCTTGCTTGTGTTAAAAAATAAAAATGAAAAAAAAATCCACCCCTTCACAAACATACTTGATGTTTTATCTGTAAGATAAATAATATGTATAGTGAAGAGCGAGCTGTATGACCTCGTAACTATTTTAATAAACAATTTTTATTCTTGTGTGCGTGTTATAAAATACATAGGCTAGCATTAGTACATGCAAAAGTTCCCCACATATAGATGTATCTCATTTAAGCATAGGAATGCTTGTAATGATTTACAGAAGAGGCAAAGCTGAATATAAGTATGTTGTCATAAATATTTATCTCCAGTATTGAGTAGTTAGTTTCATTATTAGATGAGAGAAAGAATTGTTCTAAAGGGTGAAAATTGTACTTCATGAACTGAACCTGAATTAGGCGAAGAGATGACTGGCAGCTTCAAAGGGACATCTGGTCAGTGGGTGGTCTCCTGCCCTTCTTGAAGAACATGAGCATTTTACATTCACTTTGGAAGAGCCCAGATTTTAGGCCTTCTTAAGGCTGGTTTTTGTACAACTTGCACATGGCTTTAAGTGGTTTATACATGAATAACATCTTAAGCACAGCACAACACTTAAAAGAAAATCAGCTTAAATAGAACTCGGTGATGGTCTTGTGCAATCCCATTAGAAACTCTGTTAGTTACCAAAGAATTTGGCAACAAATAAGCTCCTTTTTTTCCCAGAATAAAGAACTCATACTCCCACTACAGACATATCTTACCTCTATAGTACAATGTGTGGTGCTTTCAGAGAAGCAAAATTTTAACACGTTATCCCCAAAGAACATACTCACCTAAGTAACTAAATACATGTAAAAATGGTCTTAGGAATTATTCAGGCAAGTAGCATCAATTCTGGAATTGGGTGTAGCTGTTACCAGAACGTTCATATCGGGTAATAATTCAAGCCCTATGGGAAAACATACTGCTGAGTTTACACCTCACTGTTCATAGTTCTTTTACATATATAGACTGCTCTGGGGCACCTTGAGCGTTTCAAAACATGTTTTATTGCTTCTAAAATCTGTTAGTCCAATTTATTAGCTGCTTTCAGCTGAATTTCAGGATGTGTTTTTTTGCTGCTTATGTCCAAGTACATACCAACCTTTCCTTTTCCTTAACCCTATGGAACAAGATTTATTCATGGAGTCCTTGAATTAAAATATTTTCCAAAAAGGGCCTCATGGTTGTGAAATGCCTAACATCAGTGAATGCTTAGATGTAGGCATATCATCTGTCCATATATAGTTCATGTATTAGAAATTAACCCTATTCTCACAAAATACAAGCAGCCAAGTATTTCAGTAGAATAAGAACAGTTGATGTAACTTTGTAGGAGCAGCTTGGTTAGTCAGCAGATGTCAGAGTGCAAGGAATCCTTGCCTGCAACTGCACTTACCTAAACCTAGGGTGTGATAGCAGCTTGGCACAGGGTTCAGTTTCGTAGTTTCTTGCTTCTGGTCCGGAAGATGTTATTTTTTTCTTATTCATCGGTAGGGTTGTTCCTCATGTCTGTTTAAATAAATGGTTAAATGGTCATACTGTTGATACGGTGCTTATTTTTGAAGCTTTTTCCAAAGCAGAGCCGGAACAGGGAGATCAGTTCAACAGACCAGCAAATCCTGCATATCTAGAGAAAAAGGACTCCCCAGAACTCATATGTGGAGGTCGAGAAGATCACTCGCTTGGGATCTTTTAAATGGCAACAAAGAAAAACTGGGAAATAAGACGTCACCTAAGGGCTATTAAAATGTTTTTTCAAAGACAGGTTTGCAAAAATTGTCAGCCTTACAACCTCTACAAGTTGTCTCATGGTATTTGGCATTTCTAAAACCTCACTCCCAGCTCCGGACAATTAGTGAATACTGAGACTTCAGTTTCAAGATAGTCATTGTCGTCACCAGGAAGAGGTTTAAAGCCCTGAGCTCTTCAGGGCTTTAAAACATGGGGCCAAAAGCCCTGAATATATTTGGTTTTTTAATAGTTACAGTGTGGGTTAAGCTTACAATGAGGCAAGTCTTTGTGCCCACACAGAGCTAATCACATCATGGTGGGACCTGATCTGGCTGAATTAAACCATGCAAACATTGGGAAAGCATTGGTGGCTTAACTCACCTCCGGACTGGCGCAACCTTGGGACACGCACAAACCCCAGCCCTGCAGTTAGGTTGAGTCACCTTCCGAATGTTCCCGTTTTGCCTCTCCGACTCATGCCGTGACTCATCTACCAGGGGACAAATTCAGCATGCTGGGTCACACAAAAGCTTATGGCTTGATAGTAACAGGAGCGTGTACCTTAAAATATTGCATCCCTCCAAACACAGCGTGTTTGAACCCATTCCGTGCTCCCTTACACCCAGTGCCTCGCACAGCCGGCTGTCCTTGGCAGGTCGGGTGCGAGCAAGCGATGCCCAGAACCACTGCAAACGTGCAAGAGAGAAAACCGGCTGCGAGGAACGCGTCCCCCCTCGCACTCTTGTCAAGCGCCCACCTCCGCCGGGGACAGCAGCTCTCCTCTGCCAGCGAGGAAGCAAGATGTCAGGGTGCCTGGAAAAGAAAAGGGTGGCATGGAGGGCCAGAGGAGGGGGTTACTTGCAGTGCCGGCCACAACAAAAGCAGAGGGGAGGGGGGAAGCAAGCAAGTCGCCACCCGAGCGTGCTTTCGAAGGACCTTCTCCGCCCTGGCAGTGCCCCCTCAGGAGCGGAGCCTCTCGGGGCGGCGCACGCCGCAGGCCTCCGCTCCGGCTTCCCCTCCTCGCACTGCTGCTCCTCGTCGCACCGCCGCTGCTGCCTCATTTCCTGCAGCGCAGGCAGAAGGAGGAAGGTTTGCTGCAAGCTTCTGTCTGCTCCCCTCCTGCCTGGCCCCGCCGAATTCCGTCCCGCCCTTCGAGATGCCGGTGAGGGGGGCTTCGCGCCCGGCGCTCGGCCTGCCCCTGAGGGCGGGAAGAGAGGGCCTGGGGCTGAGGGGCCAGGCCTGGGAGGGCGGGTGCGACCCGGGGCTGAGGGAAAAGGGGTTCTGCTGCTGGGGCCTGGCCGTGGGCAGCTGTGTGGGGAGAAAAGGGGCTGCAGCCGGGGGGAGCCCTGCTGAGAGCAGGGAATTGCAGTTTATGGGAGGCTGGTGCAAGGGCAGGGGCCTTCTCTTTCCCCTCCCAGCGCCCTCCTCTTCCTCTTCCTCCTGTCAGGGATCCACCCGAGTCGGGAGGGCGGCAGCCCCCAGCTCCAGCGAGGGAGAGGGTGGTAAAAGCAGTGCTTTGCTCTGGTTTTGTTCGCACCACCTTCCTCTGGTTGGAATAAACTGCTTTTGTGCTAGGAGATGCTTTTTACACCTCACCCCCCCAAACCCTCGGCTGTGAGGAGGTGTAAGGCTTCCCCGTGGCCTGGCACAGCACGGCGGGAATGTTTGGAAAGTGCCTAAAACTAAACTCATCGGTTGTTAAAAATTGTTTTCCCGGGAAGAATCTGTCATATCCAGAAAGGTTTGTTGGTTGTTTTTTTTTTTAACTTAGACCTGTTTCAGAGTGCACAGAAAGGTCTTTTTTTGAGTGTGTGTATGCGTGTTAAGCCTGGCTTTATTTATTATTATCTAATATTATTAGCTAGACATGGAAATAAAATACAATCTTTTTAAATGACCACCTAACTTTCAATGAACTATGGAGTGCCCCATAACTTAGGCAGGAGAGCAGGGCTGTTAGGCCCTTGGTGCTGTGCAGAATGGGGTTAGGCAGCCTGGGCATGAAGCAACACCTGCAGACCAGCGGTACCAATTCTGTCCTGTCTCTCACCACTGCGACTGTAAGTGGTGCCAGTGATGATGCTTTCACGATCTTCACCAGCGTGGCACTGAAATCTGGGCCTAATTGGAAAACAGCGATTGTTCGTGCAAGGGAAAAATTGCTGGAAGCATCACTAATGAACTAGACTCTGACTCCTGTTTGATGAAGACATGGGGGACACGTGATCAGACAAGGAAATGTCTATTCTCAGTAGCATTAATAACCAGCCTTCCCCTGGTCTGTAGGCTTACCACTCAACTTTAATGGACTCCGACACCAAGCTAATTGGGAACATGGCGCTGTTACCCATCAGAAGCCAGTTCAAAGGCCCAGCACCTCGGGAAAGTAAGTTTATAATAATCTCTGAAAACCTGCCTGTATATAGCTCATCATCATCTCACGGTTTGCTCCAAGCCAGCCCTACCAAGAGTGACGAGAGGAGTCACAGGTTGGAAATGGAGTGCTTTGCAGTTTATAGAGGAGGAAGAAAGTTTTCAAATACTTAAGTTGTGCAAATCATAGAAAATAATTATGCACAGATAAATATGCACCGTACTCCAGCTAAATAAGTTGTTTCAGCAATTAAAGTCTACGGTTACTATTCTTGTGCTTCCTCCTGTGTCCCACTGCACTCTTCAGTAGGTTTTGAGGAGGACGTGGTGGTGTGAACCCTCTGCTGTCAGAGGAAGTGGAGGTTTAGCTACAGAGAACTTGCGCTTTGGGTCTGGGGCTGAAGACACTCCTGTGAAGGACGAGGAGTAGGATAGGCAGCACTTTAGGGTAGGAGACTTCAAAAATTGAAATGAAGTTACAGGCATCCCAACAGGGTTCACAGGCAGCCTGGTACGGATTCCCCTTCAACACATGAAGTAGCACTTCTGAGGCATGATATTCCCCAGTAATGTGGCGTTTCAGTTTGAGAAAGGAAATACAAAGGAAATGTTTCTGAATTTAAGCAGTCTTGGACGGTAGCAAAAGTCAGCTTGCCACTGTGTGTTCTGCTCCCCTCCTTTTTTTGAAGAGGATAATGAAATTCGTGATTGTGTTGCTATGCTTTTTCCAAAAACATTTTTGTGTCCTGAGAAGACTTTTATGCTGTGAAAATTCTGGTGAGTTACTCAACTGGTAGAAAAGTGGGCAACTGCTGAATTGCTGCCATTTGTGAAGTGAGAAAGCATGGGGGGAGGAGAAGAAGGGAGGTAAAGCTCCTGCTGGGAGTAGAAAGCTTAAATATTATGGTCTGAGCTTACCATGACTGTTTTCTGTTACATAGTGCTGTCTTCTGCTTTTTTTAAGTACTGAGGTTTTGCCTTTGCAATAATCTTTATTTGTGTCTTTCAGTGAGTAAAAGTCATGACCAAATATAG